ATTCCTGTCCTGGATGCAAGAAGCAGGGGACTGTGGGAACCTTTTCCCAAGTCCTTGGGCTTTTCAGAAGCAGGGCAGAGGAAGATTGGGTGGGTGAAATGCCAGGGGCCCAGAGATCTGGGAAGTGAGAAAACCACACGTGGTGCACAAAAACCACAATTCGTACCATGCAAAGCCACGGGGTCCATAAAGTCCCCTGGGGTCACCCTTCCCCTTGACCAGTGCCATAAGTACTTGCAGGAACGAGGCCTACAGGTATCTCTGGGGGACATGGGGCCCCTCTCATTGGCCCCGCTCAGGCCTCCCTCTCATCTCCTGGGAACAGGCGCTGGTGCGAGAGGCTGGTGCAAGTGACGGAGGAGGAAGTGGTGGTCCCGCGGCAGGAGGAAGCCGTGCCCTGCGCAGAAGTCTACCGCTACAACATGGCTGGGTGGCTTCTCGACCAGGAGAGGATGCGCCGGGTTGGCGGTGGAGCAAAGGGCCTGTGCTATGTCTACAAGTGAGTAAGAGAGCGGCCAAATAGTTGGGAGAGGGGACCAGAGAAGGATGGAGCCACAGGTTTGGATACCAGAAAAAGAGGGGCAGAGCTTGGTGGGGAAAGTTCCTTGTCAACAGTAATGCCATGAGTTGCATCTTTCTGGGTCTTGTTCTGTCCCCTTCCCGCTCTTTGGCTGTATGAGTCCATTCCAGCAGGATATAGTTTTCCATGTATTTGGCTTATTTGAATGCAGCCACTCATGTGCACAAGGAACAATCTCATGCTTATCACATCTATTTGGACAACTAGAATAGTTGTGGGGTTTCTTCTCTTAGCAAGAGGAGTCCCAATTGTCTTGCTCCCCGCTCCCGTTTGCATCTCTCCCACTGCAGGCCAGAGGACACGAGGCCCACGGTGTGGAACCGGACGGTGCGCGCTTGCTGTGAGGGCTGGAGTGGGCCCCATTGCTCTGAGGGTAAGGCTGGCTGGGCCAGGCTGCCACGGGGGTCGAGCGAGGGAAAGGTGGTACGACAGACTTGAAGAATAATGAAAGTCAACGGTTTGTTGATTCAGACAGACACTGGGGTTGGATACCTCTTGGCTAGTCCAGAGTGGGACTTCTTGGCATCACGAGCATATAGTCCAGGTTGTGGCGCAGATGGTTGAGAGTCAGCTGCATTAAAATCACTACTGACCGAAGGTCATGAGTTCGAAGCCACCTGGGTTGGAGTGAGCTTCCGGCCATTTGTGTAGCTTGCTGTTAACCTTTGCAGCCCGAAAGACAGTTGTATCTGTCAAGTAGGAAATTTAGATACTGCTTATGCGGAGAGGCTAATTTAACTAATTTACGATGCCATAAAACTCCCCAGCAGTGTGCAAAAATGAGGAAGTACTCCATCGGTGTCACAAGTGGATGGTGAAGCGGCAGCTCCCCCGGTGGCCAGAATTCAAAAAGCATCCCCTCATGAAGCTGGAAAGTTAAATAGCCTCTGAGTGTCTGTCTATATATGTTGTGTGTCTATGGCATTGAATGTTTTCCACGCATATGTGCATTGGGATCTGCCCTGAGTCCCCTGTGGGTTAAGAAGGGTGGAAAATAAATACTGTAAATAAATAAATAAATAAATAAATAAATAAATAGTCAAGCCATGGTAAATATGGGGAGGGAAGGACCCTAGGAGAGTTGTAAGGGTGATTGCCTCTTAGTGACACCCGTTGGAGTCATGCAACAGATCCACTTGGAGGTTTAGTCCAAATGTTAAAGGAGGTGCCCAAGATGCTGGCAAAGAGTCTGGGAGTCCTTTTGGACCCTCTTTCTGCTGATGATGGAGGCCCAGGTCTCCGCCGTGAGCAGAACCGCCTTCTTTCACCTGCGGCAGGCTAGACGGCTGGCCCCCTCCCTGTCCAGGGACGACCTAGCTACGGTGATCCAGGCCACGGTCATCTCAAGACTGGACTACTGTAACGCCCTCTACATTGGCCTTCCTCTGTCGGTGATCCGGAAGCTCAAGCTGGTACAAAATGCAGCTGCTCGGCTTCTTGCGGGAATTCCGATGAGATGCCACATCACCCAATCTGACTGCAGCTGCATTGGTTACCCATTGAGCACCAGATCACTTTCAAAGGGATGGGACTCACCTTTAAGGCCTTGCATGGTCTGGGGCTGATGTAACTGAGGGACCGCCTCACCCCCTCCCAACCCCAGAGATCCCTCCGTTCTGAGGACCAAGATCTATTGGAAATTCCCAGTGTCAAGACCTTGCGTCTAACAGCAACCAGACGCAGAGCCTTTACAGCAGTGGCGCCATCACTCTGGAATACTCTGCCACCTGAAGTCCATGCCTTGCGGGGCTTACCAGCTTTCCGCAGGGCTTGTAAGACATACCTGTTTCGACAGGCCTTTGATTTTTGATATTGCTGTTTTTAAATTGTTTTAAATTGTTTTTAGATTTTAGCCGTTCTTGTAAGCCGCTCCGAGCCCCAGGGGAGTGGCGGCATATAAGTTTGAATTATAAACAAACAAACAAATAAATAAATAAATAAATGAAGCTGGAAAGTTAAATGGCCTCTGTGTGTCTGTCTATATATGTTGTATGTCTATGGCATTGAATGTTTGCCACGTATATGTGCATTGTGATCCGCCCTGAGTCCCCTGCAGGGTGAGAAGTGCGGAATATAAATGCTGTAAACAAACAAACATACAAATAAATAAATAAATAAATAGATAGTCAAGCCATGGTAAATATGGGGAGGGAAGGACCCTAGGAGAGTTGTAAGGGTGATTGCCTCTTAGTGACCCCATTTGAGTCATGCAATGGATCCACTTGGAGGTTTAGTCCAAATGTTAAAATAAAGGAGGTGCTCAAGATGCTGGCACAGTTTGGAGGAAGTGGGACCTTGGATAGCTCCTTTTAGGTCTGGACTGCAACCCAGAGTGGCTTTCCCTTCCTGACACCAGACCTCTCCCCTTGATCATGAGCAATGAGGACAAGAGTGCTTCTCTCTTCGACTTTAAATATTATTTACTCTATTTATATCCTGCCTTTCTCTCTTCGTGGGGTTACCTCTGATACTGCCCGGAAGCTGCAACTAGTCCAACGTTTGGCAGCCAGGCTACTGACGGAAGCGGGGTACAGGGAGCACACATCTCCCTTGTTGCGCCAGCTCCACCTGCTGCCAATTAGCTTCTGAGCACAATTCAAAGTGCTGGTTTTAATCTACAAAACCCTATACGTTTCCGGCCCAGTTTACCTGTCTGAACGAATCCTCCCCTATGCTAAGATCTTCTGGAGGGGCCCTGCTCTTGGTCCCTCCACTTTCGCAGTCACATCTGGTGGGAACGAGAGGCAGAGCCTTCTCTGTGGTGGCCCCTCGGCTATGGAACTCTCTCCCGAATGAAATTAGATCTGCCCCCTCCCTTCCTGACTTTTAGGAAGCTAGTAAAATCATGGCTATGGAATGAGGCATTCCCAGAATGATGGCTGAGACCGGCAATTGACCAAAGTTATGGACCACAAGATGCAGACTGAATTGGAAATGATTTTATCTTGGCGAATTGGCTTATAGGTATTTTAATTCAGTGTTGATGTTTGTTGTCAGAGAGTGTTGATATTTTAGATTGTACTGTTAGCATTGAATCCTTGCTGTTAGCCGGTCTGAGTCCCTCTACGAAGGTAGAGAAGATCGGGATATAAAAGTTTTAAATAATAAATAAATAAATTCTCTACCTTGAAGGAGACTCAAAGCGGCTTTACATATAGGCAACTATCCAATGCCTTTGGACAACATACAATTAAAAAATACATTAAAGTTAACATTTTAAAATTAAAATTAATGCACATTACAACATATAAAACATTCACCACCATACATAGTAGGCTTGGGCGGTTTCGTTCGTTAATTTCGTAATTCGTTATTAATTCGTATTTAAATTAGCTTACGATCCAATATTGAGCCATGCAGGAATAGTGTGAAGAGTAAATTAGATTCAAAACAATTTTTTCAATTTATTTTGTAATTATTGTAATTATTTCGTAATTATTTCGTAATTATTTCGTAATTATTTCGTAATTATTTTCGCATGTCTGGTGCAAGTTTTATAGTTGTTGTTTGTTTTATCACACCAACAGTCAACAACAGAGGGAGAGGGAAGCTTCAGAAGTTCCTCCTGTCCCATTTGGAGGTTTTTTTTAGCATATTGTGCAATCTCGTCCGCCATTAACGAATCGATTCGTAATTTTACGAAATTTCGTAAATTTCAAAAAATTTTAAAGGAAAATTTCGGAATTATTAAAAAAAAAAACAAAATGCAAGGGCCCCCTAAAAACAAAACGAGTTTAGAACCAAATTTTCCGTGGTTACCCAAGCCTAATACATAGTTGTAATCCGGGGCCGTTCCAAAAATCATTGCCCATATTTTGTAGTTATTGTCGCACTATAGTTAATCTCCAAAGGCTTGATCCCAGAGCCAGGTTTTCACTTTTGTTCTGGGAGGGAGCTGCTCTGATATCACTGGGGAGGGAGTTCCACAGCCGAGGAGCCACCACGGAGAAGGCCCTGTCTCTCATTCCCACCACCTGCGAAGGAGGCGGGACCAAGAGCAGGGCTTCCCCAGACAATCTTAACCTCCCAAAGCAAAATATGTTGTCACCATCACTGTCACAGTGGCTGGGTAGACCGCATATTTGCAGTTTTCTCTCTGTCTCTTCTGCCGCTTCCAGGGAAGGACACGGTGGGCCGCTGCTTCTCCACTTGGCAGTGCCAGGACATGCCGGGGCTGCAGAACGCCTCACTGCTCAGCTTGGAGGAGTGTTGCCAACACCTCTGGGGCCACAGCTGGCAGAACGCCTCCTCCCACCTCTGCTTTGGCTGCTCCTCCCTCCCCCTGGAAGGTGGGTGCGTGCCCAGGTGGCCCTTCTGCCCTCTCTTTCCCTTCTTGGACCCATCCATGCTGCACACCTGGTGTGCTAAGAGGTGGGAAAGGGCCACAGCTTGTTGTGAAGTTACTTGTGAAAAATAATATGTTTCCATTGCCCAAGTAGTGCAATGGGTTAAACCCTTGTGTCGGCAGGATTGAAGACTGACAGGTCGGAGGTTCGAATCCAGGGAGAGGGGGTTGAGCTCCCTCTGTCAGCTCCAGCTCCTCATGCCAGTAGGACTCAATGTCAATACACAAATGTCCTATTGCTATAAACTTCAGCAACAATATCAATTGGAATAATGAGGAGAATACCAAACTAACTCATATTGTACACATGTCAGAGTATTGAAGCTTTGCCAGTGGAAGGATTGCTAGATCAGCAGACACTGTGTTCAGAAATCAGGACTCTGCAAGCTTTCAGTTACAACAGAAAACTAAGTTTACTAAGTACATCTATACACGTCTATTCACAGCAAGCAACAGACAGGAACAACTAGGCACAAACAACAGTCTCTGAACATCTGCTTATCTGACTTCTGGCTGAGACCAGATCCTCCCTCTTCTTCCCAGCCAGAGAACACGTTATCTCATTTCTGTCAAGGTTACAGTTTCACAGCCTCAGCACTGTGTTTTCTTATACACAATAGAGCAGAATAGAATCCATCTTGAAATACATCTTAATCCATCTTGAATTACATAGAAACACATTGAAAAACACACATGCATAACCAAATAATCCTGACAACTCAAGCATGGGAAAGAAGCACACAGGGACTGTTTACAACGGTGCAACAAACATAATATTCATGTTTTCCAAAATAATTAGTTGGATCTACCAAAGTTCGTGGGAACAAACTTCAACAATTCAGTATTGTCCCATGTGAATCCAAGATGTGTGATAAAAAGTCTTGGGGACTGAAGACCAACTGGTTGGAGGATCGAATCCAGGGAGAGCGGGTTGAGCTCCCTCTGTCAGCTCCAGCTTCCCCATGCAGGGACATGACAGAAGCCTCCCACAAGGATGGTAACACATCAAAACATCCGGGCAATGTCCCCTTGCAGATGGCCAATTCTCTCACACCAGAAGCGACTTGTAGTTTCTCAAGTTGCTCCTGACATGAAAACAAAATCAGCAGCATTCTCTTCCCCATATTTCCCCTCTTCCTCTTCCTCCCCTGGTCCATTGCCAGGGAAGTTGGGAATGGTAGTCCAAAAAACCTACAACAACCCGGTAGTCCAACAGTTCCTGTGGTTAGATGGAAATCGAACGATTTTATTGATTAGCCAGTTGGCCACAAGGATGGTAAAACATCAAAATGTCTGGGCAATGACCTCTAGGCAACGTCCTTGCAGATGGCCAATTTTCTCACACCAGAAGCAACTTGCAATTTCTCAAGTTGCTCCTGACATGAAAAAAAAATCAGCAGCATTCTCTTCCCCATGTTGGGAATGGTAGTCCAACAGTTCCTGAGGGCATGTGGGTAGATGGAAGTCGAACAATTTTGTTGATTAGCCAGTTGGCCTTATCAAAACAAACAGTGCAAACACTACAACATCCATCTAGTCCTCTTAAAATACAAATATGCAAGTATTTGACGTGGTTAGATGGGAAGCTCCAGTCCATATTTATTTATTTATTGTGTCAGAAGGAAATTGAGAATACAGTTATAATATATAGAAAAACCTCAAAATTAAAAACTTGGCATTCTATTAAATGTCGTTTGACCAGAAGCTGGCCACTTGGAGTGCCTCTGATGTTGGTATAAGAAGGTCCTCCATTGTGCAAGTGGCAGGGCTCCGACCGCATTGTAGTAGGTGGTCAGTGGTTTGCTCTTTTCTGCACTTGCATGTCATGGACTCCGCTTTGTGGCCCCATTTCTGAAGGTTGGCTCTGCATCTTGTGGTGCCCGAGCACAGCCTGTTCAGTCAGTCCATAGGATTTTTTTGGTCAGCTGTCCTTGGGACTGTCTTGGTCTCTTTTGACCTCATAGACATCTCCCTGTATCTTTTTGCAGCCAATAGTGAAAGGACCAAGGCAGAGACATCTCCAGCCCATCCCCTGTTTGGGTACCAGCCAGCACGTCAACAACTTAAATCAAGAAATAGTTTTCTAAGATCTACAGAGACACTTGCTGGAACACCCCAGCAAGCGAGAGTCCAAAAGTGGCAGGCTCAAACCCAGAACCTCAATCAATGGCTGATACCCAATGAGAGACTCCCCTCTGGGCACACAGAAGACGGGGCGACTTGGAAGGCACTAAACAGACTGCGCTCTGGCACCACAAGATGCAGAGCCAACCTTCAGAAATGGGGCCACAAAGTGGAATCCACAACATGTGAGTGTGGAGAAGAGCAAACCACTGACCACCTGCTGCAATGCAACCTGAGCCCTGCCACATGCACCATGGAGGACCTCCTTGCGGCAACACCAGAGGCACTCCAAGTGGCCAGATACTGGTCAAAGGACATTTAATCAACTACCAAACTCACAAATTTTGTCTGTTTGTTTGCTTTGTTCTGTTAGAAATGTAATATAATTGGTGGTTGCTCTGACACGACAAATAAATAAATCCCTGTATCTTTTTGTTCAAAGGCAGCATTGTGTGTTGTTGTAGGTTTTTCAGGGTACATGGCCATGTTCTAGAAGCATCCTCTGAGGATGCTTGCCATAGATGCAGGCGAAACGTCAGGAGAGAATGCTTCTAGAACATGGCCATATAGTCCGAAAAACCTACAACCACCCAGTGATTTCAGCCAGGAAAGCCTTTGACAATGCAGCATTGTGTGTCTGAACCAAGACACCAAATGCCTAACCAAATACACAGTTGAATGTGTACTGCACACCCTTGTGCAGGGGATGCATGCATCAGTGCATAACACACCTCCATGAGCGATGCCACTGCATGAGTGGTTCCACTTGTATCTTCATCTGATGCCAAGCATCGGACGGCAGCACCTGACTTTAATATTTCAGTTCATTCCTCCCTTTTCTGGAGCTAAGCGCCCACCAGCCAAGGTTCACGGGGCCAAGGGCTGTGGGCCAACTCTTGTCCTTCCTTCTCCCCAGACGACCTGCCTTCCACCTCTTTGGTCCGGCCACTGGGCCCCATGGCTCTCCTTCTGCGCTCAGGGCATCCCGGGCGCCCCTTTGCCACCTGCGTGACTTGGGCTGGCTTCCACTACCGCACCTTTGACGGCAAGCATTTCCGCTTCCACGGCACCTGCACCTACGTCTTGGCTGCTGCTTCCGACGGCACCTGGGCCATCTATGTCTCCTCCAGGACCAGCAGCAAAGGGGGCTGCGCGCCAGGCCAATGCTCCAGGGTAAGATTGGGATGGGGCCACCCCAGGCCAGGCGGGACCTGCATTGAGCCGTAGGCCAGAGGCATACACTGCAATGCCAACCAGAGGCTTCCACCTCAGCAGGAGGGGAGCCTGAACTTTGAGGGAGCTTCCCAAGGGGATTCCCAGCACCTAAATGGAGCCAAAACCTTGGAAGGATATTTAGAAATTCAAAGTAAAACCTGGAGTAGATTGGCATATCCCTGACATGGGAGCCTTCCAGTAGGTTTTGCAGCAAGGGTCAGAGGAGAGGAGGCAAAAGGACTCTGTTGTTGACCCTGTCTCAGTCAGTGCTGGGATTGAGGAGCTGTGTTCAGATGCACCTACTGCTCCTTTCTCCCCAGCAGACCCTCCGGATGCTCTTTGGCCTGGATCTGGTTGTGGCCGAGGGACGGAACGTCTCCATAAACGGGGCTGCGGTGCCAGAAGGAGAAGCGCGCTTGCAGAAAGGTGAGCGGGCCAAGGCAGGTGCTTGGATGGGGACTTGGATGGGGCATCATCTCCCAATGGGGTTGGAAAGCAGGGAGGCAGATCTTCCCTTAGCTCTTCCTTCCATACAAGAAGGGATTTGTCAGGATTATTGAGGTATGCATGTGTGTTTTTCAATGTGTTTCTATGTAATTCAAGATGGATTAAGATGTGTTTCAAGATGGATTCTATTATGTTGTTCAATTGTGTATTAGAAATACTGTGAGAAGCAGAGAAAATGTAACCTTGACAGAAGTGAGATAACATGTTCTCTGGCTGTGGGAAGTAGAAGGAGGATCCGGTTACAGCCAGAGGTCTGATAAGCAGATGTTCTGAAACTGTTTATGCTGTGCTTTGTAGTTCCTGATTATAGCCCGCTAAGAATGGACGTGTGTAGATGTGCTTAGTAAACTTTGTGTTATTTTGCAACTGTAAGACTGCAGAGTCCTGATTTTTGGAGTCCTGTGTCTGTTGATCTAGCAACCTCTTCCGCTGCGCATATACCCCCAAAATTCTCTGACAGGATTGTGTCCAAAGAGATCTTTTGGCATGTTGTTTCAATAGTTTTTTTCATCCACCCACTGTTTCACCAAAAATCTAACCCCCCCACCCTGAGACATTGTTTGCAGAGACACAAAAACAGCTTGCAAAAAACCAAAACCAAAACCCACAACATTTTGCTGCACAATCAGCACATTTTGCTGAAGATGCATCACTTTCTCCCCAAAAGTGTCACATCAATTAATTTTCTCAGGGAAAAAATTCTGGTGAGCAAAAATATCTTGCAGAGGTCGGACTTTTTCTCAATGAGGAGGTTTGACACATTGAGATTCTCCGTCTTAAAGGCAGGAGATCAGCCACAACTCTTCCTGAAGCTGACAAGGAACTGGAGATGGGCAGCAACCCTGTTCTGGGTTTGAGTCTGAATTTCAAAGGAGTTATTTGAGATGCTGAACCCTGTTCTCAAAACATGCTCAACCCCTTAGGCAGCATTTTAAAGCTTTGCACTTTGGGTGCAAATATGTGAATACGTAGATGCAAAATCCTAGAAACCTGAAACTCTTGGTACTCTCTCCCCCCCACCCCGCCGGTTTCCTCTTCACATCTTCCTGTGATTCTGCAGAGGAAAAATGAAGTGGGACAGAAGCCCATCTGCACCAGTCTAGGTTCTCGTCCTCGTTCCATTCAGAACTTTTAGCACAGCTGGTTAATCACCAACAGCAATAGATCATTACCAGTTGGAAGATTAGCAGTTCGAAGTCCAAGTCAGAGTGAGCACCCAACCATCAGCCCAGCTCACTGTCCACCTAAGCTGTCCCGAATAGACTACTGCAACATGCTCTATGTGGGGTTGCCTCTGAAGACTGCCTGGGAGCTTCAGCTAATCCAATGCTCAGCAGCCAGGTTGCTAACAGGAGCGGAATACAGGGAGCGGACAACTCCCTTGTTACACCAGCTCCACTGGTTGCCTATTAGCTTCTGAACACAATTCAAAGTGCTGGCTTTAACCTATAAAGGTTCTGGCCCAGTTTACCTGTCCAAATGTGTCTTCCTCTACGAACCATCAAGGACTTTAAGATCATCCAGGGAGGCCCTGTTCTTGGTCCCACGACCATCGTAGTTGGTGGGGACGAGAGACAGGGCCTTCTCTGTGGTGGCCCCTCAGCTGTGGAACTCCCTCCTTAAGGAGGTTAGATCTGCCCCCTCCCTCCTGACCTTCAAGAAGAAACTTAAATATTGGTTGTGGGATCAAGTGTTTGCAGATTAGATTGATTTTACTGGCAATGATGAGATATTTGGATGACGTTTTAACCTGGTGAACTGTTTTAATGTATATTGATATTTATTTTTTAGGCATTTGATTGTATTTTATGATGTGTTTTTATTGTTTCGGCATCAAATTGTTGCCTGTTGGTAGCCATCCTGAGTACCTCCTCGGAGGTTGAGAAAGGATGGGGTATAAATGTTTCAAATAAATAATTTAAAAAAAGCAACTGAGTTGTGAGTAGAGAAATTAAGCACTGCTTAAGCAGGGAGGTATTTTACGGCACCACAAAATGCCAGCGATCAAAGAACAAGGAGAAAAAAAAGTCTGCGATCAAAGAGCTCGTCATCACAGTGGATGGAGCAACAGCACCCCCCTGTGGTCAGAATTGCGCATAACCTCCAGGCGCCAAAGCTGGAAAATGGCGATATACCTCTATCTGTTTTCCTGTATGTCTAAAAAAACAGCATTGACTGTTTGCTGCGTATGTGTGTTCTGTGATCCACCCTAAGTCCCCTTCAGGGTAAGAAGGGGGAAATATAGACACTGAAAAACTGGAAAGGTAAAGGTTTTCTACTGATGTTAAGTCCAGTTGTGTCTGACTCTGGGAGTTGGTGCTCATCTCCATTTCTAAGTTGAAGAGCTGGTGTTGTCAGTAGATGCCTCCAAGGTCATGTGGCTGCTGGCATGACTGCATGGAGCACCATTACTTTCCCACCGGAGTGGTACCTATTGATCTACTCACATTTGCATGTTTTTCAACTGCCAGGTTGGCAGAAGCAGGGGCTAACAGTGGGAGTTCACCCCGATTTGAACCTTTCGGTCAGCAAGTTCAGCAGCTCAGCAGTTTAACCTACTGCGCCACTGGGGCTCCATAATACATACATACATACATACATACATACATTCTCTTTCTTTTTCCCACTGCCCTCCTTTGCTGCCCCATTGACCCCCTTCTTCTTCTTCTCTCCTCTCTGGCTCTGTCCAGGAATCAGCGTCTGGTGGCTGGGGGACTTCCTCTTTGTGGAGAGCGGTCTGGGTGTCCGAGTCAAGTCTGACGGGCGTGATACCATTTATGTCACGGTGGGTGTGGACCAGAGAGGGGCCACCCGAGGGCTCTGCGGGGTCTACAATGATGATCCAGCAGGTAAAACAGAACTTGTTTGCTTCCTTTCATCTTCCCTTGAGGAGCAGAGACAGAGGGACTTTTGGGGAGTGGAAAATGAGTGGAAAATGAGACACTTCCACATTTCTCAGTTGGCCCTGAGTAAAATTGCATCCTCTGGGTACACGGAGCCATTTTGGGGGTGACACTTGTCTTTTATTTTGGGGAGTGGGGGAGATTTTGGGCGGGACGACAAGGGGTCATATTTTCTTTCTGCTGCCATATTTCCCACCTCCCTCTTCATTCTCCTTTTCTGTCCCAGATGACTTCCTACGTCTGGGAGGGGACTTGGTGGC